CAGAAAGGGAAGGGGACTTTGAAGGGAAGATTTGAGCTTGCTGGGGAAGTGGGTCATTATTTGTACAAGCAGATGGGTGCACAATGTCCCCAGCAGGCAGTGCAGTGGAATGCACACGTGGGGAGGGCTCTGAGTGCTTTCTTTCCTCGTGCAGGGACGGGAGAGTGCTGGGAGTGCTGGAGGTTTCCCGCTCCATCGGGGATGGCCAGTACAAGCGCTGTGGGGTGATCTCTGTGCCAGATATCAAACGCTGCCAGCTCACACACAATGACAGGTAACGGGTGCCCTTGCACGGGGGGGTCTGTCCCAGCCCTGCTTGCTCTGCTGTGAGAGCCAAGGCACTTCAGGCTGATCCCCCCAGAATTAGAGGATGCTCTTACTGCTGCGGATGCTCTTACTGCTGCTGTCTCTCTGCTTCCATTCCCTATTACAACAGTGGGATAATCTGCTGCTCTGCCAAGATGCTGTGAATGCTCCTCTGGAGGAGCCAGCCTCATAGCAATAGCATACATAGGCCTTAGATGTCCTCTGAGCTCTGATTAAGCTCGCAAATCAGTGTTCAAGCAGGTAGTTGAGGCTTGAGTTCTTGGGTCTCCATTCTGTCCAGGAGTTGTTTTTAGCAGCTGTGGTGCCAATAAAGACTTTTGCATTCAGCTGTGATATTTGAAGATTTGAGATACTTTTCCATGGTATGATTGGCAACGACAAATTGCAGTGAGCTTTTGTGTCAGTATGGCCCTGCAGACTCTCAGAGGTGAGTGTAACCCAGTACTGCTGCTTTTTCTGGGATTAGTGCTCCATATCAAGTGATCCACTGAAATATTTCTAAAGATACTCGTGAGTATCATGCACTGAAATGATGTCTTCAGAGGCATGTGCAGACTGACAACTTCTGTAGGTTTGTTTAGTTTTCCTTGTCCTGGGACTCTGGTTAGGGCTCCTGGTTAATACAACTCCCTGTGCAGGCAGGGAGTGCACAGCAGGCTGCCTCCCCATCCTAAGGGAGGTGCTGCCCTTGCCTTGGGCTTTGTATCTCCTCAACCTTCTGCAGCCTGTGGCAGTATTTTGTGTCAGAGTTTTCTGTTCACAGTTGTGTCATGTGCTTTTCTTTTGAATTTGTGTATTTAAATTACCACAGGAGTGTAGAAATGCAAAGTGATGTACATGAGGGATTCAGCTTTGTTTATTTCCTTGCATTAGCTGCTTCACAGGGAAAATACATGAACGAAAAGGACTCAAGGGAAAGAAGCAGTTCTTAGAGAAACAATGGAGATGTGACCAGGATAATATATGATCTTGCCTGTGTTGTAGCACAGCCAGGATGTCCTGATCAAGGTCTTACATTAGTTGCCTGGCTCTTTGCCCTGTATTTTGAATTGCCATGAATGGTAGGTCCCAAGGGATTTTCAGATGAGCTTTCACAGCATCTTCCCTTTGGATCCAAGCATGGATGTTCATAAAATAGATGGGAGTGATTTTGTTGTGGTTGAGGAGCCAAAAATTCATTCTTGGAATCTGTCTCCACTTGATTTCCAGGTTCATTCTGATAGCGTGTGATGGCCTCTTTAAAGTGTTTACACCAGAAGAAGCTGTGAACTTCATTGTGTCCTGCCTGGAGGTGAGGAGAAGGTGGCTTGGGGAGCTGGGTTTGTCACTGCAGAGGGCACAAAATGGACTTTTGCCAGAGTGCCCTCTAGTTATCCCCTAGGCTGTGTGCATTTGTTCTGCTTCCCAATGTTTGGAAAATACAGCCCCACTATCATAGGAGGCAACTGGGATAAACCAAAGTACAACTTAACGCAGCTAAAACATATAAGAACACAATACAACACAATCCCAGCTTTGCTGGGAGCAGTGAGGTTGCTCTGTCCCTACAGGATAAGAATATCCAGACGAGAGAAGGGAGGCTGGAGGCCGACGCTCGCTATGAGGCCGCGTGTAACAGGCTGGCCAGCAAGGCCGTGCAGCGCGGCTCGGCCGACAACGTCACCGTCATGCTGGTCAGGATCGAGCACTGAGGGGCCTGCTGAGCCAGGGGAGAGCTCTGTGTGCATGCTGGGTGCCTGCAGGAGGCTGGCTCCTGCTGGGTGCTCTCCAGTGTAAATAAAGATGGGGTTTTTCTAATAGGGTGATTGTGATGGTGTTCGCAGGCGTCTCAGATCCTCGTCTCTTTCCTCATCCTGACTCCATGTTTCTGAAGGCTTGATTTTTTATTTTATGATATATATTATATTAAAACTATACTAAAAGAATAGAAGAAAGGATTTCATCAGAAGGCTGGCTAAGAATAGAAAAGGAATGGAATGATAACAAAGGCTCTGTCTCGGACAGAGAGTCCGAGCCAGCTGACTGTGATTGGCCATTAATTAGAAACAACCACATGAGACCAATCCCAGATGCACCTGTTGCATTCCACAGCAGCAGATAACCATTGTTTACATTTTGTTCCTGAGGCTTTTCAGCTTCTCAGGAGGAAAAATCCTAAGGAAAGGATTTTTCAGAAAATGTGTCTGTGACAGTTGATGTTGCTCTAGAGCACAACACCAAGCAAAAGCAAAGCACCAAGGCTCCATCAGAAGGGTGCATAAGAGAGATTTATTACAGCAACATGTTGCTTTTATACTTTGTCAAGATATTTACATTTACTTAACAGACACGTTCACTGCCAGCTGGTCATGAGAAAGAAACAAAGTTCTCAATAGGTGAACAAGGAGCCCCTTCATTTTGTGAGCCAGCTAAAGTCTGTATCTTTTAACTTTCTCTCTTTCATCATGTCACCATGGTGACGGCCTTGGTGTCTTCCTTGAGAGAGATACAGGGCTTTCCTTATCTTTAGGAAGCCTTTGCTGGCTCGCAAGAACAGCACAAAATGCCTTTTCTAGAGGTTTAGCTCACATAGTGCTAGGGTTGAATGTCTCTGCAAATGCAGTGAATTCACTGGACAGGGGTGCTACAAGGAGGCATCTGGGGGCATCAGTTCTGCCAGCTTTTAATTGGGACAGTTCTGCTGTCCACATCCTTGAGCTTTGTGCAAGACCCTGGGAGAGTCTGGAGTTCCAGGACTCACACAGGCTGTACCATACAGACTGTGAAATCCTCTAGGCCACCAGTTTGGGATGTGGTATTGGCTGTCCTTGACACTGGGTAGGAAACCTGGCTCTGAAGCTGGGCTGTGAGGTTGCCTGCAGCTGAGGGGCACAAACACCCATTGCAGAGCAGCAGCATACCTGCCCTGTGCTTGCAGGAGTTTTACCTCAAAGTTGGTATGGAAAAAGTAGCTGGAGTTTGCTCCTGATGTTTTTTGGGAAAAGCGTTTTCACCAAATGGGCTTGGTGAAAAGGCAGCTGAGCTGCAGGCAGGCCCTGTGCTTGTCTGTGCTATCTGAGGAGAAGGCATCTCAGGTTTTAGGTACTAATTAGTGTCTGGTGTCTCATCCTGTCTCAGTGCCTCTGCCAGCTGTTGCTGCAGTCAATGTGCTGTTTTCCAGAGAAAATTTGGCCTAAGACCAAATGACAGAATGAAAGCTAAATGGATTGGGCTACCTAAGCCCTGAAGTTTCCAATTTCCCACCCTGTGTGTGAGGGGGCTGAGATGGTGCATTGTGGTTGCCTCCTTGCTCTGATGAGGCACAGCTGCAGTCCCAGGGGAGGGGGCAAGGGCAGGGTGGTGCAGGAGCTTCCCTGGCTCCTTTCTGTTTTCTGCATCCCTGGAACTCTGGGATTTGTCCCAGCTCCTGGGTTGTTTGTGTTATGCAGGGCTGTGAGGCTTCCCTGGCTCCTTTCTGTTTTCTGTATCGCTGGAACTTTGGGATTTGTCCCAGAGTTTGGTACAGGTGGCTTGGCCATCTCCTATTTCTGCTCCAGCAGTAGTGAGTTACACTTCATGGGCTTAGTCTGAGGGTGCACACTGACTCTGCATCTCCTGCAGAGCACTGAGGAAGGAAGTGGCCCTCTGGCACAGATTTTGGGTAGTGCTGGTAGATCCTCTGCCAGCTTGTTCTGCTCCCAGCCATTCCTGTGTATTTAGATGTGAGGCTGCAGTGCAGGATGAGCTGGGAGGGGATGCCTTTGTTAGCAGCACACTCCTGTTTCTGCTCTTGAAAGGCAAATTTGGAGAGCCCAAACAGAGCAGCATGGATTTGCTTCTCTTTGTGGCAAAATAAACCTGATGGCAAATTTCAGAAAGGCACCTTGCTTTCCCTTCTCAGCTCCCCCTTTTTTTCAGACCCAAACACCCCTACCCATGAACTGCTGCATTAACAGCTCCTTCACCAGGCTCCTCAAGGAGATGCAGCCCGTGGGGAAGGGCAGGGACATCCAGGGAGAAGGTGGGGCTGTTAGCTGAGGCTATCTTGCAGTGCTGCTGGCACCACTTGCCCAGTTCTGAGCGCTACTGGGAAATGAAGCGCTCACCCTGCCTGGCGCTGCCCTGGCTGTGTCACGTAGGCTGTGCCCTGCTGAGCTATCATAGCCACAGAGCTGGGCTCTATCTGGGCTGCCACAGCCAGGCCCCGTGCCACAGGCAGGGAGTGCCTGCTCTGCAAAGCCAAGGGCAGGAATTTGCTGTAATCCAACGTGTGGCATTGTTGGGACTTTGCTTTGATGATTGTTGTGAAGGATGTTGGCTCCTGCCAGCAAAGCCCCTGCTCACACACTGCAGGGGCTAAAGCAATGCAGAATCTGGCCTGGGCTGCTGAGACTGAGTCTGGGCAGGGAAGTCCACTGAGGGCAAAAATGGAACTGTGGGGCTTTGTACCATGCACGGTGGGAGCTGAGCCCTGGGCAGCCATCTGCTGCCACTGTCAGCAGTGTTTCCCAAGATAAACTTCTAGGCCTAGCCTTTAGATAAAAGTGAATGCCTTTAGGTCCTGCTCAGGCTGCTTTATTACTATCATCATCATCATCATCACCTTCATGATCTTTTGTCCATCTTCAGCACAAGCAGTATCAGACCAGACTGCAGCTCCCTGCATGAGCAAATGCTCTTCCTTGGGCTTGGTGCTGAGCAGGGGAGGCACGATGGTGGCTGGCAGAGGGAAGGGTCTGGCTGCTCCTGGCACAGGTTCAGCACAGTTCAGCCTCTTCACACGCCCAGCAGCACAGCACTGAAATCGGAGCCACTTTGAATGGTGAGGGGAGAGCCTGCCGTGTTGTCCACAAAAACAGAGGCATGCTGCCCAGCCTGGGGGGAGAGAGGGATCAGCAGGGCCAGGACACCTTCCCTGGGCACCAGGCATGGCCTGGCAGGGCCAGGGAGAGAGCTCTCCCTGCACACAGCAACCAAGAGCTGGAGGAGCTGCTCCTGCCCTTCCTTATGGGAAAAGAGCAGCCCAAGGCCTTTAGGGCAGCCCAGTCACAGTCTGTGCCCCAGCTGAGCTCTGCCCTGGCTGTCTCTGGGGCTCGGAGAGCAGCAGAACTGATGCCCAGCCATGGAAGGCACCTTCCTGCCCAGCCCTGTCCCGCTCACCTGCAGGTAAAGGGTGCCTGTGACAGAGATGGTGAAAAGCTCCCCGCTGCTCTCCAGCTGGGATGCGCTCTCCAGATGGCTGCAGAAGAGCGAGGGCAGTGATGGGAGGAGCAGCCCCTCCTTTCCCAGCGATGCTGGGCTCCTTCCCCCCTGCCCTGTGGTACCTGTTGTGCTGGCAGCGGGACTGCACACAGATCAGCACCCGCAGGCGGCTCCCGCGGCATCCCTGCCTCTTCCTCCGCGGCTCCCTGCGCGCTGGGACAGAGCGGGGGGTGAGGCCAGCCCAGCCTGCCCCGGCAGCACCGCGGGGCTGTCGGAGGGCTCACCGATGTGCAGCGTGCTGCTGAAGGTGTAGAATCCCGCAAGGGGGGCGGTGTACTGCCCGCTGGTCAGGTTCAGCCCCGGGCCACGCTGGAACATCTCCTCCCTCTCAGGCTGGCATGGGGAATGGCTGAGTTAGAGAAGGAGTCCCTGTGCCAGGGGGGTGCCCCTGCAGACAGGGAAAGGGGCAGGCTGGGCACTCACAATGTAGAACAGCCCCAGCTCCAGCCACGTCTTCTGCTCCACAGCGATGTCTGCACGCGTCCGGCAATGGAAGGCCGCTTCCACACGACGCTGGGCGCTGCCTTTGCTGCTTTCCTCCTCCTTAGACCCTTCCCCAGCTGTCCCGCACATCTTTGCCGTGCCTGACCCCGAACCCCAGCGGAGTCTGACATTAGGAAGGGAACCTTCACTTCTCCTGGCTCTGCTGCCCAGCCCTGCTTCGCCTTGTCCTGCTGTCCCCACAGCTCCCCCCACTGTGTCCCCAGCCGGTACCTCTGAGCAGGAGATGCAGCTCCCTCAGCAGCTCCTCGGGCACGGCCGGGCCAGCCCCGGCTCCCGCGGTTGATTTCCCCGGGGTGCCGGGGCCCGCTGGGGCCGTGAGAGCTCCGGAGCCGCCGCGGCCCCGCTCTCCGCTGTTCCTCCCGGGGCTCCCGGCCAGCAGCATCCAGGCCTGCCGGGGATCCACACGGGCCGCGCCGGGCTCCCCATGCTCCGGGGCCAGCGGCCGCTCCCGGGCTGCCCGCGGCGCTTCCGTGCCGGTGCCGGCGGCGCAGAGCAGCGCCAGGCACAGCTCCGGCAGCCGCATCCCGCCGCCGCTACCGAGGGCGGCCCGGCCCCGCCTCGGGGCCGCCTCAGCGCCGGGCTCTGCCCTCGGGGCCGCCTCAGCGCCGGGAAAGCTCCCGTGGGCCCAGGGAGGTGCCGCCCCGGCCCGGGGCTCCTCAGCGCCTCGGAACCACCGAACAAGCGCAGGGGGAACAGCTGAGCCGTCCTGCGGGGCTGGCTGTGGGCCCAGCCGGCGGGGAAGCCTCAACTTGTGCTGGCCCATCCCTCTGGCACCGGTACCGCCGGAGATGGGCTGGGGCAGGAGTGACCGCAGCAGCGGGGCTCAGCCGGGTGCCGGCTGCTTCACCATGGCTGGGGATCACTTCCCTGGGTGTGTGCTGTGCATCCCAGCAGAGAAACCAGGATTATGCACAAGCAGCAATGTCAGGCTTTGATGGGATGAACCACACTTGAAATACCCTAAAATCTTTAGGGTTTGGGGGGCAGAAATGCAGCTCTAAAAAACCCACAAACTCACAAATGAAGAGAGCTTTAACCAAAGCGTGTTTATAAGGAAAAGCCTTTTCCCTGCAGTGGTGGGGGAGAACATGCTCCTGGTGCCCCAGCCAGCCTGGCACAGGGCTTCCACCTCCCACTCACCAGTCTGAACAGGCAGCAGAAAAAAGGGGAGCACGGCTGCATAGGGTGACAGGCATCACTGAGGCTCTCCTACCACCCATGGTCACCCTGGAAAGGTTCTGTCCATTTGGAGGTGTCCATGAAGATGGAGGAGGAGCTGTGGAAGAGCCAGAGGCAGGGCAGGGAGCCCTCGCGTGTCCAGAGGTCCTTGGAGCAGTCGTACACCTCCATTTCCACCCGGTAGTCCCCGTCCATGCCCTTCCAGTGGCCGCCGGTGACAAAGAGCCGGTCACCCAGGGCCACCATCCCCCCGTTCTCATGCAGGGTGTGTAGGAGCTGCACCTGTGTGAGGGACAGGGTGAGATGTGCAGGGACTCCTTGGTGACCTCCTACTCCCACCACAGAGGATAGTGACCCCCCCAGATGTGTCTCCCTTCCCCATCTTTCCTTTCTGTGGGGTTTGGGGGCCTCTGGTGCCTCGTGCCTGTGTGATGGGGAGCAGGGGAGGAAGGAATGGGGCACCCTCAGCTCTGCAGGTGTTAATAGAACCAAGGGATGAGTAGGTCAGAGGGAGAGGGAGGTGCTGGCACTGAGGGGAAGCAGTTGGGAACACCATCCCCATATCCCTGGAAGGCTGATCATGCCAGGTCCCACATCCCACCTTCTGCCAGATGTTGGCCTCTGGGTTGTACACGTGGACCTTCTTGGTGTTATCCCCGATGAGGTAGATGAGCCCCCGCAGGGTGGCACAGCGTGGGGCTGAGAGGTACTTGGGGATGAAGGGAGATGTGATCACACTCCACAGATCTGCAAGGAGCAGTCATTAGCAGTGCACCCCACCCTTGGCTCTCCATGCAGCTGCTCTCCATTGCTGAAAAAAGCATTGCTATTTCAGGGGGAATTTGAAAGGGAGGGGGCAGACCAGCCAGGCAGACAGGCACCACAGGCCCCATCCCAGTCGAGGGTCTTGCATAAAAAATAGTGTGGGGTGGGGATATAGTTTGTAGTGGAGCTGTGGGATGGGAAAGAGTCTGCTTGAGGAGCTGGCATTGTCACAGGGTGATAGTTTCTCCCTAAGGCAGGCAGCCTGCCCCATCCCAATGCCCCAGAGATTCCATTCCACCGAAGCTCAGCTCTGGGCTGTGTCAGACACCCGTGACTCAGGTCCGTGCTGCAACAGCCCCACCACAGCCATCACCACACCCTGCCAGCACCTGCTCACTTCCCACAGCACCGTGCCTGGCACTCCAGGGGTGTCACCTGCCTGGGGGTCCCAGGGACAGCACTGGGGGGTGGCAGCAGGCGCAGCTCTCACCTTGAACGGGGTTGTAGCACTGCAGAGTGAGCGCGTTGTACTTGACGGCGCAGGAGCCCACCAGGTAGAGCTTGCCCAGGCAGCTGGCAGCTGCAAAATTGCTCACGTACTTGAGGGCTGGGCTGATGGCACACCAGCTCTTGTTGTACGGGTCGTAGCGCTCCACCTCCACCACATCCACTGTTGTCCCTGCGGGGTGACAGGACACTGCAGCCACCCTGGGGCACCCACCCCAGCAGCACCCCCGGGCTCTCTGCAGCCTCACCCCCGATCACGTAGATCTCGCCGTTGAGGACGGCGCTGGTGTGGTTTGTCCTGGCTCTCAGCATGGAAGCGATGGGCTGCCAGACCCCGTCCCTGGGGCAGAAACACCAGGCCTGTGTCGTTGACCACGTGTCATTCTGGGATCCCCGGGAGCCACCTAGAGAGAGACAGGTCAGGTGGGCCACCCTCTCCAAGGGCAGCTGTCCCTGGGTATTCCTTGCCCGAGAGTAAGGAGAGGATTTTGCTCAGAGAGGAGCCTCTGGCCCCACACCAGTGCCTCATGCTCATATCATTGTCCCCTGTCCCCCACCCTGCCCCAGCAGCCCTGGCACTGACCTGTGACATACACATCATTGTTCAGAGCCACCAGGGAAAAGCCCCACTTGTTGTAATCAGGGAAGTCAGGCAGAGCCATCCATCGCCCTGAAAAAAAAAAAAAACCCACACACAATGACCCCACAGCCAGCAATGGCACTTTTTAAGCCACCCTTGTTTCAAGTCCATCCCATCCCAACCAGCGTCTCTCTGAACTGACACTAGTTTGGCCAGAGGTGGCTTCGGGGTAGACAGATAATTAACATGGAGGGAGCTGGAAGAAGGGGGGGGCACTTACTGCTCTTGGGGTTGTAGAAGGCAAAGTTCCTGGTGGCAGCCGGCATTTCCAGCCCCCTCTCCTCATCCTCGCCATCCTCCAGCACACGGCCACCAACCACCACCAGCACCTCCTCCAGCTTCTGTGGTGGGGCTGGGGGGTTCTTCAGGGCACCGGTGCCACTCTGCCCCTGATGAAGAGGCCAGGATGGGATCATGAGGCTCCTCCTTCCCAGCTCAGGGAGCGGCATTCAGGGGAAGGGGGTACCCACCATGGTGCGGGAGCGGGCGACGAGGGCCTTGCTGGCATCTGAGTCACGAACGAGAGGCTCAGTGGCGAGGAGGTTCTGCAGGTACTGGTCAGGCAGCGACACAAGGTGGGTCAGCTCCAGCAGCTCCGGCAGGAACTGGGCTCGGGATCCTGGGTCATGGCGTACCCAGCGCAGCACAGCCTCCACCAGGCTCCTCTCCTCCTGCACCTGCAGCTGGTCATTGGACAGGTAGACAGCCAGCCTCTCTTTGGACAGCTGGAGGAACTCCTCCTGAAGAGAGACGGCTTCAAAGTTCTCCTGCAAGAAAGACCAGGCCTTGGAGGAGACCTCAGGGCAGCCGTGGCTCTCACCAAACTCACAGATACCTAGGCAGTTGGTGGCATCCATCTGCTGCCGGAGGTAGCGGCTGCAGACCTTCTGGATGGCAGGGAAGTGGAGCTGGCTGGAGGTCCTCATCAGCCCCTCCACGTTGCCCTGGTTGATGGTGACCTTTCCCGTGTAGGCAAAATCGAGCAGCATCTCCAGCGCACTGGGGTCCACTTCCTTGAGCTCCACCCGCGCTGCGATGCTCTCGGCAAAGTCACCGGAGAACATGGCATAGAAGTAGTGGCTGCAGAGGGCCAGGATGCCTCGGTGGCAGGGAAACTCCCGCCCGCCCGCCACCAGCGTCACGTCGGCCAGTTTGGGGTTGGTGCGGAACTGCTGCAGCCCCTCCAGCACGCCCTGGGCGTGCGAAGGCAGGCAGAAATCAAAGTCGTCCATGTTCCTCACCATGGTGCCGGCGATGGCCGCGGGGAATGGCAGGCGGGCGCTGCCCGAGCAGCGGGAGGCGAGGGGGTCCCTGCCAGGAAAAGGCGACGGCGTCTCCCTCTCGCCCTGTCGCGACATCCTCCCGCCTTCCCAGCGCCCGCGTCACGGACAGCAGCGGCCGCACAAGCGCTTCCCACACCCCCCTCCCACGGGGGCCGCGTTTTCTCCTCACCGCGCCGCGGCTGCCCCGCCGGGCCCCGGCCTTTCGGGGACGGTTCCCGGGGCGATTTGAGCCCTCTGGCGCGGTCGCTCCCGCTCTCAGCAGCGCTCCCCAGCCCGGCCGGCCCGCGGGAGGGAAAGGACCGCGCTCCCGGCGCTGGGCAGGGACACGCCGCATGACACGGGATCAGCCGGGACGGGGGCACTCGCTATTTTTAGGCGGCACCTGGACACTGCTCCCTGCTCTTAAAGGCACCGCGCGGGCAGAGCTCTCGCCGCCGCCCATCCTCGCTCGCTGCCTTTAGGAAAGCCTCCCCCTCGCGGAGGGGTCGGCTGGGCAGCGAGCCTGGAGGGAAAAGCTCCCACAGCAGCCTCCCTGCACCCCATCGGCAGCAGGGGTCCCCGCCATGCCCCTCCTGGCTCCTCCGGCTCGCACTGCCGGGGCCGCTATAAATAGAGGCCTTTATCTCACCCCGGGGCAGCCGTAAACACGCGGCTGAAACCCCCGCCCGGGGAGAGGGGGAGCGGGGCTGCTGCGGCGGCCCGCCCAGCTCAGCAGCTTTCTCCACCGCCCCCAAAGCCTCGCTCAGCTGGGACAGAACCGAGAAAGTTTTTATTGCAGCCCGCGGCCTCCGGAGCGCCTCGGCATCACTCCTCCAGGCTGAAGATCTCGGCCTCCTTCTCCTTCCAAAAGGCGAAGCTGCGATCGATGTAGCGACAAATCTCGTCCCCCTCGTCGCCGGGCAGCCCCGGCAGCTGGCCCGGGCCGTGCGGAGTCCCGAAGTACCGAGCCTTGATGTCGTCGAAGCCGTCGCGCCAGCCGCGCCGCCCGGCTGCGATCTCGTCGATGACGGCGCGGTGGAAGGCGCGCACCGCCCGCCAGCCGTGCCGGCCCAGCTGCTCGAACACCTCGAAACAGAGCAGGTGGCGGCCTCGGCGCTCCTCGGGGGACAGGTCCTGCTCCAGGATGCGGAAATAGCCCAGCATGAACAGCTCCAGCGACAGGCTCTCGTACTCGGCCGGGCCGCCGCCCGCCGCCGACACGAACTGCTCCGGGGAGAGCAGGGTGCGGGCGGGGGGCGGCGGCGGCGGCCGGCGGGAGGCGGCGTCCCTCCAGCCGTTCAGCAGCTTCTGGATGGCCGCTCGCTGCCGGGCCAGGCGGGCCGCAGCCCCGGCCCCGCTCCCCGCCGTCTCCCGAGGGTCCCCGGCCCCGGCGGGCCGTAAGGGCGCGTACGCGGAGCGTCTCCAGTGGCTCAGGAAGAGCATCACGATCCGTTCCTTCCTCAAGCTGCCCCACTCCGGCCCCTGCCGCTTCCCCTGCCGCGGGGAGCCGCCGTCGGAAAACGCCTCCTCGCAGCTGATGCCCGAGTCGCTGGCGGCCTCCGCCTCGCGGGGCCCGGCCGGAGCCCTGCCCGCCGCCCCCCAGGCGGGCTCGAAGGCGCCGCGCAGGCTGCGGACGCAAACTCCGCACTGCCGGATCTCCCGCTGTGCCAGGCTGCCCCCCGGCTCCCGGGGATGCCCGGCGGCCGCAGGGAGAGCGCAGGGAGCGGCGGGCATGGCCGCGGCGGCGCGGGGAGCCGGCAGCCCCTCCATGTTGCCCAGCAGCGCGGCCAGGCTGTTGACGGCGACGGCCAGGCGGCCGCACCAGACGGGCAGGGGCTGGCCCGGAGCGGGCGGGGGGCTGCGGACGGAGATGTTGAGCAGCGGGGCGGGCAGGAGGGCGCGCAGCTCCCGCACCAGGCGCCGCAGCTCGCTCTGGTACACCTCGCCTCGCCGCCGCAGCCGCAGGCTCTCCACTGCCCTCTCCAACTGATACAGGTCTGTCTCGGTCAGCAGCTCCCCGAACGGGCCCAGCACGCCTTGGTGGGACGGCGAGAAGCTCCAGGAGCCGGCATCCTGCGGAGAGAGGCGGTCAGCGGTCCGACAGCCCGCTCCCCCTGTGCTCCCCGTGCCCCTCGTACCTGCCCTCCCGCCGGCTCCTCGTCCGCCAGCCGGGCCCGCAGCCGCCGCACCATCACCTGCCGCTTCCACTCGGGGATGAGCCGGCCCCGCTCATCGTGCGTGGGCACCAGCGATTCCGCGTCCACCTCCGCGGGGTCCGGCCTGGGGGCCCCCGCCGGCCCGGGCGCCCCGTCCTGTGCGGGCAGAGTCACGGGGGGCTCGAAGGGACTCGGCCGCCGAGGGGACGAGCCGGGGGCCGCGGACCGAGCCAGCGACCTACCGAGTGTGCGAGGAAGGGCGCCGGGATCCTGGCCCGCTGCGAGGGCTTGCGGAGCTTCAGCTCGGCCGGCACCGACCTGCCGGGCTCCATCCCTGCCGGGCCCGGCGGCTGCGGGGCGGAGGCGCGGGCCTCCTCCTGGGGGACGGCAGCAAGGCGAGGTGGGCCCCAACACCTCCAGGCCCCCCAGCTGAGGGGTGACCCGACACATCACCCCGGACCTTAGGGAGAACCCTCCTCGGGGGACAGTCAGGGGTGGATCTGATTCCTTCAGAGGACAGGACGGAGCTGAGGAATCCCTGCTGCCCCTATCCCCCTGCAGCCAAGGACCGAGCCCGGGGCCGCCCTATGGCTGCCATCCCTTCTCCCAGCCCATCCTCCCGCTCCCTGGGGTGACAGGCTGGCATTCCTCGGGGATGGGGGTGCCCATTCCCCCAGCCCCAGTGCGCTCTTACCTGCCGCGGGGGGCTGAGCTGGCTGCTCAAGGGGGTCGGTGCCCTGCTCAGGGAGCACCCAGAGGTGGTGTGGCTGCACCCCCAAAGTCCCTGTGTGGGGAGCAATGAGCGATATGGGGCAGGAGGGAGGATGGAGCGGTCGGGCAGCCCTGCAGCGCTGGGGCAGGGCACAGAGGCATTGAGCATTGTATTAATATTTGATGGGGCATCGAGTGGCAGCACCAGGGCTCAGTGGGTGGAACTGGCGCCGTTCCTGGAGATAGTGGCTTGGTGATTTGGCTCCAAGCCTCGTCCTCCTCTCGGGGCCAACGGAGAATGGCCGAGGCTGGTCATGGCCCCAGGCCAGGTGCTGGGGACAAAGGAAACATCTTGCACGGGGCACTGAGGGCAGGTTCTGGCAGCGGGGGATGCTCAGCAGAGGGATCTGCTGCCTGGGCATCGGTTACTGGCATTCAGCCACATTTGTGTTCTTTCCCTCCACCACCATCCATTATATATGGCTAGGATGGACTCGTGGGGCTCACTTACATGTGAGAAATTCAATCGAGGGGCTGGAATAAAATTAACAAGCAGCAGATCTAAGCCTATAAACACCGATCAGCTGGCGAGGATCCATTACAGAGTCAGCCTCCCAAGCTTCCCTGGCTCCAGTGCAGGCTGACACCCAGCTCTCATGGGGAGGATAAGCTTATGCTGCCCAGCAATAGAGGATGAGTGCAGGTTATACTTTGCTGTAGGAGGGGGGGAATGTGCTGAAAGCCCTTTGGCAGAGGATTGTGCCAGGGCTGTCTCCCCCAGCCTGGAGAGCATCTCCCAGGATTTCAGCTTTCCACAGTGCAAGGGTGTGCAGGAGCATGAGAGGAGAGGAGGTTCTGCCCTAAACCTCCATCTCTGCCTCTTTTCTCACCCTGTTCTTCAGGAAAGCAGGCACTGGCCCCTTTGGGATCTGCTCAGAGAGTCTTGGGGGACTCCCCTTTCCCCTTTCCCTTTCCCTGCTGCATACCTACAAGGATGAGCAAAGCAGCACAGAACCAAACAAGGATGGTCTCTCTCCAGTTCTTACAACCACATTCACCCCTCTCCGCCAGTTCTTCAGCCTTATCCCACCCCAAGTTCCCACATCCATATCCTTCCCTCTCCCACAGCTCCCACTCCCCCAGTCCTGCACTAATGAGCAAAGGAGCAGAAGAAACCAGGCGAGGCCCTTGTCAGTATGCTGGTTTTCATTTTAGAGGGGCCTTGGAGGATCCACATCAAATGGGATCAAGGGGAGGAGGTGCACGTGGTCCCGAGGCCAGGCCTGCCCAGGCTGTTTCTGCCCAGCCCCTCCGACACTCTCTGGGAACGCTGCTGGAGCCCGGGGGGGCTCGGTGCCCTGTCCCCATGGGAGAATGTGCAGTGCGGCCACCTCCAGGAGCTGCCTACTCCTGCTGCTGCTGCTGCTGCTGCTGCTGCTGCTGGTTCTGGTTCTGCTGGTTCTGGTTCTGCTGGTTCTGGTTCTGCTGCTGCTGCTGCCGCTGCTGCCGCTGGCGCCAGCGCACCACGAAGGGATGGAGGCGGCGGCGGGGCCGGCGCGGGGCCAGCCCGGCCCGGCTCTCCGGGCCCTGCAGCACGCGGATGCCCCCGATGGGCCCCTGGCAGGTCGGGCAGGTGGCGGCGGCGTCGGGCCCGGCCTGGGGCTGGATGCAGGCGTGGCAGAACACGTGTCCGCAGGGCTCCACGGCAGCAGCGGGGCTCTGCAGGAAATCCACGCAGATGCGGCACACCCGCACGGCTCGGGGCGCTGGGGGCTCCTCCCTGACCTCCGCCATTGCTGCTCCCGGGCTCGATTGCTCTCAGCCGCTGGCAGGACTCGAAGGCTTGGCTTCCACTTGGGGCACTCGGAGGCTCCTCAGTCACTGCTGTCACTCAGAGGCTCCTCAGTCCCTGCTGTCATTCAGAGGCTCCTCAGTCCCTGCTGTCATTCAGAGGTTCCTCAGTCTCTTGCAGCACTCGGAAGCTCCTCAGTCTCTGGCAGCACTCAGAAGCTCCTCGGCTGCTGTGGGTCACAGCCTGAGTGCTCTGGCACTGCCCAGCACTGGGGGTTACAGTTTGTTTATGGTTACCCACTGCAGGTGAGTGATCCTGGCTCTGGTGACATCACAGGGTTCTCAGGGAGCTCCCCCATCCACAGAGACAGATCCTGTGGCACACAGCCCACCTGGCAGTGGGCTGCACACCTCAGTGTTTGCCCAGATCCCTTCCACATGGTCCCTGCTGGTTTCCATGCCATGTGCTGGGGTCTGGGGCTGCACCTCCCCAGGGAGAGGACTCTGCTCAGCCCTTGGTTGAACTTCAGGAGGTTCCATCAGCCCATTTCTCCAGCCTGTTGAGATCCCTGAGGCTGCAGCATCGTCTTCTGGTGTCTCAGCCATTCTATAGAGAACTGGGACTAATTTTCTCTGTTTGGTTTCTAAACTTTATATGTCATATCTTTGATATCTCAGAAGCAGTGGAAATCCAGGGAATGAGGCATTAAAGACCTCCTGTTTCTATACTTTGCAAAACTTAGTGCTTCATGTCTAACTGATCCTGTGGGGCAGCCAGTGCGAGACTGATGAAATCTGGGAGCCTCCCCAAGGACTGTGTCCTTGCAGAACTGCTGCTGAAATCACAGAGCCATGCTTAGTTGAGAGCATAAAGTAAGAGGGACTGGGAAAAGCTTTCTATTTCTGTTACTAAGGGTGCTCAGGGAGCAGATTTCTCTCACAGCTGGAGAGCCCATGGAGCAGTAAAGGAGGCCAGGAGGAATCAGTCAGTGAACACCCCAGGAAGAGAAGGAATGACCCCACACACCACATATCAGGGCACTGGCTGCAGACCCAGCCCTGCTGGGTGGGCCCCATTCTTTGCCAAAGGCTGGATGTGAAGCAGGAGCTCAAAATCCCATGAAAATCAGGGAGCACAAGGGCATTGCTGCTACATTTCTGCTGCAGTGCCAGCCAAAAAGCAGCTCAAATGGGGCGGTTGGGTGCTTAATGCTGCCACCTCCCTGTTTCTCCCTGGAGAAGGACTTAGATGGCAGGATTAATAGGACACAACAATCATTCTGCCATTGAAAATGTGAGTATAAAACATTTGAAGGGTAGAAAATCTGTCAGAGCTGTAAATCCTGATCCTGAGTTCTAAGGAAATATAAACTATATAACTATTATTAGTTATATAGACTCTATAACTTAGACCAAAATTACAAAGTGCTTATATAACTTAAGTTATATCAATATATAACTTATAATATATATAGCTATATAACGTGGTATCAATATAACCTAAATAATGACTTTTTGTATATCTAAATAACCTGATACCTACATGACCTGAATCATAGCTTTTTATACCTATATAACCTGAATCATAACTTTTATACCTAGTAAACTGATATAAATAATTTTTATACAATGTAATGACTGGTATATGGTTAACTAGTTGCTTAATGCTGAATAGAAAAAAAAAAAAAAAGAAAAAACCCTCAACAGGTGCATAGCTTTAGAAATAGATAAGTATAGTCAAATGAAAAATAGTAATGATATATATAATACTAATGAAGAATAGTACTATTACTAGAAATAAATAAATAAACAAACACCTGCTCTGTAGACATTGGTCTGTGGGGATTTATTTCCAGCCTATCTTTTGGGCATCATATGCAGCCACTCTTCTAAGAACCTTAAAGCTTGTTTTAGTAATCCATTTCTTTTTTGAAGGATTCAGTAAAAATCACTTATGTCAATAAATCTGTTAAAAGAGAGTGAAAATTGGTGCCAAGCTTTAAAGAAAGAAAGGAGAAAAGAACAGCCCATGGTAAGCACCAGTCCCATGTAATTAGTGCTGGAGACCGCTGAGGCCATAGACACACAAAAACATGTCATGACACACTCTGTGCTTGCCTTAAATCTAGCCAAGAATAAAATAACTTGTAATTTTTTTCCCCTGCTGCCCAACCCTGCTGTTTTCTACCACTGCTTTGGGTTTTTCAGTGCCCTTTCACCCCATACCTCATGTCTGCCCAGACCCCCGAGGCTCCTGCCAGTTTTTGCTACACTTTGTTTGCCCCCTGGGTGTGCCCACCTCTGCCTCTTGGGATTTTGCTGGCCAGAGTGACCCCAAGATGCATTAGAAAGTCTCTTTCTCCAGCCTGGCAGTTGAACAAGGAGTCAGAACTCTTCTATTCTCAGTCTCAAGGTTGTTTATTGTCTCTATAAAACTCTTTCTCCGACCCACCAAGGTGTGTCTGGCAGGTCAGGTTGAGGGACACAGCCCTGGCCAGCAGCACGTCCATCCTCAGAGCCCTCAGGGACTGGCTCTGCTGGACATGGTGGAAGGTTCCAGCAGCTTCTCACAGGAGCCACCTCTGTGACCCCCTGGCTACCAAAACCCAGGCTGTGCAAAACCAACACACTGCTGAACTGCAGAAGTAGATCCACAGCACAGGCAGCCACAAGTCCCAAGGGGAAGGAGTTCAGTTTGCTTTCTGTCACAACTGAACTTCAGACTCTGAGGCTTCCTGGTGAAAATAGCCTTCAGCTGTACCTTCAGCAGCAGTCCTGGCTCACTTTCCAGAGCTCAGCATCCTGTACTTGACTGACACAAATCTTACACGTATTCTGCCCTGATGCCTGTGAAGATTCACCTCCTCAGAGAGACCAGGGTGTCACCAAAGCCATGAAAGTACAGAGACAAGTCTGGCAATTGCTGCTGCTGCCACGATAAGTGCATGGCCAGAGCCTCCTCCCACCAGGGAAGATCCTGTTTGCACCTGTATAGAAGCAGCTCATTTGCTGGTCAGGCTTTCAGAGAAGTCTCCTCAGGCTTCTCCCTTCCTGTTCCATCTACCCAATGGATGTGAAAAAAGATGACAGAAATCTGCCACCAAATGGAGAAAAACTACTTCTGGAGAGCAGGACAAGGAGATCTCTGCTCAGAGACCATTAGTTGTGGGCAAAAAGCACAGAGTGTGGGCTACAAAAGAGAGACAAGTGTGTGTCTGGGGACACTGGGGTAAGGAGGCTGGCATCAGTGTGAAGTGCACTTGTGAAGGCCATGGAGTGTCCAAATAAAGAGAAAATGCAACAGTGTGTGTCCACAGGGTGAGAGGGAAAGAAAACAAGCAACAACTCCAAAGTGCTCTCTGATGAAATGTGTCATGTTCCAGAGGACAACGAAGCTTTGCAGAGGAAGGGACAGAATATTTTACCTGCTCAAGCATCCTCCTGAGGTCAGAGTTGAATGTATTACTTTGTATTCTCTTCTTCCCGAGTTGCAGCTACACACTGCAGATATTCCAGGCTCTTCTCTGAGAGTCAGGACAGCTGTTCCCGTCCTGTAATGGCCTGCTGGGCATCAAGAGAGGAAATTATGTGAGCTGGTGCCACGTGAACATTAGAAACAGCAGGTCAGGGA